CGGCACCAGATGCAACTTTTAAAGCAAACCGGTCCTCCCTCTCAGAGGCCAGCGATTGGACGAAGGGATGCGGGTCGGACTAGTTAACAATGTGCTATTTGCATCAGCGATAAGAGAAGGGCGTATTTGCTTAGACTGTGTTTGTCTGCGACTGATGCTTTTCAAATTTTATCTCAGCTGAGCATGTGGCCTATTTTTAGCTCAGCCCACTGATCAGGAGGTTGGTTGTGATGCATAAGACCTCGTTAGATTGAAGTTAAATTTGCTTAACTTTTACAGCTGATACAGCTGGAAAATAAAACTAAAACAGCAAAGTGTTCAAATTCAAAATAAATACATGACTGTCATTTTTTAACTCGTCACAACATTCAATTTGTTCTGGTATGCATTGCCAAGCTGAAATTAACATATACCAAGAGTATACTAAAGCATTAAGCAGCAGCTGTATTTTAGTGAAGAATCTAAAAAATGAAGCACATCAACATGGAGATCTAAGGAACTCACAATTTAATAGACACACTGTAAAAGTCATTCATGAGACCGATCCTGCCACTTGTTTACATGTGTCGTTGCAGGGTAGACACAAATGAAATATACTGCTTTCGATAAAGCTTTCAGGTTGCAGCATGATTTGATGCGTTGTGTTGACATAATATTGTTGCTTCATTCTAACAGTGTGTGTAATTAAAGCTCAAACGTCTGTGTTATTTTATATAAATCTAAATTCAAGGTGAGGTTACTTAATGAAATTGAATTTGTAACTATACATTTTCTTCCTTGACATTTCAAGTCGTCTCCTTTACTTTTTCTAAGGAGCAAGAAGGTTGAGTCACTCACTGCTGCTGCACAGTGTGACAGGACAGGAGGACCGAGGACAGCTCCTCTGTGGCTGCTGTCAGCTGCAGGTACAGAAGGTAGCTGAAACTGTGGCAAGTAGTGTTTTCTCCAATAACTATTGTTTGACCATGTAACTAACAGGTGGTTCCTGAATACTTCCTTATTGACATGATTTTTTTCCTTGTTCTTCTTCTTAATTCTTATTAATTTGCTAGATGTATGCACACTTATCTAAACTGATCAGGAATAAAGTGTGGTGTGACTTTGAGAGTTGCCTTATGAGTGGAAACGTAGAATTTCTTTTCTTTTTTTTCTGAGCCCTGCCTTTAAAACCACATATTTCAAATTCTTGCTCTCATTATTGTGTGACATCTCCATGGTGGGCGGGGCAAACATGAAACAGAGCCTTATCCTCAACCATATGGTCACAAAATTGTCATCGCACCCACAATATATCTAAACAATTAACCATGTTGGAGACCAGCAGTATAAAGATGACTGCAACAATTTCAGAGGCTGCTCAATACCCGGATAATAAATTCCACTGACTTTCTGAATGGGGTGATACTACTGAAGGTATGAGGCTCAGGTGTATCTGAGCTGGTAAAACCATTATCTCCTGAGCATCAGTCGCGTACCACAGTTAAAATTGTGAAATAAAGTTTATAGTCTGTGCGTAATGATAGATCATCTGGCTGAGCTCGGGATTCATCTAGAGAAGCTTTATTAGAAACGATTCCAACCTATAAACGGTGGATTTTTAAAACAACTCAGAACATTATTTATTGTCTGCTTCGGACAGATCCAATTTTAATAAAGTTACCACTGCTGTGCCGCGTGCGTAAATACGCACCGTTCTCAGTTTGAAGAAGCACTTCTCGTTTTTGCTGCTGTGTGATGCTGCAAGTATTAAAGTCAAAGAAAAGGTTCTGATGCACAGCCGTCTGTGGACAGCAAACAGGACATGGTTCTATCAGTGTGTCTGCAAAATCTAGATTTATTATTTTTTTTACTGATTACATGTAAAATGTACAATGACAAGAACAGTGAAACTCTCCCGTCTTGGTTTTGATCGTGTACTTCAAGAGTAGGAATCTACAATACCAAATGGGAAGAACTGGCAGGACACCCCCCAAAAACCAGACCAAACTGTTAGTGTTTAAAAATTGAGTCAGTGATTTAAACTGTCCACCAGCGCTGACAGAGATGAAACACCTGACATGTGGCTACAGAGAGCTGCTGGTGCAGAAACCCAGCTTTTCCTGCACCGGCCTTTTACCGGCTTTGCTGTTCCTCATTTATATTGTACGAGGACGGCTGTTTTTTAAAACCATTATTGTACATCTAAATTATTAGACGGTTAACCCTCAATGGGGCAAGTGACCATATTCGGTAACTTTCTTGGACGTTCAGCATGTCCACCCTGTGGCTCACCTTGAGGCTGAAGAACCATGTGCACTTTGATTGAGTTTTTATATTAGTGCCAGTATCACTACCTTACGAAAAATGTCACCAAACAAACGTTGCAGGCATTTTAGAAACGCTTTGTTGCTGGTTTGCATTGAACTCCACTTTGATTTATTTTTTGAGATTAGTGCCACTAACACCACTACCCCAAGAAAAATGTTACTAAATGAACTTTCCAAGCACTTTATAAATACTTTGTTACTGGTTGTGTAAGTACCATTACCTCAAACTAAAATATTTCTAAATAAATGTTTTTTTTTTCCTTTTATTTATTATAAATTCCCTTTTCTTTTATTTTTAACCATAGACGGACAAGTTACCATATATGATAACTTTATTAACTTTAATTTTTTTTTAAAGCCAAAAAAGTAAAAACATATATATATATCTTGAAATATCCTTCAATAACACCCTGGGGTTGAAATTTTCATTCTCCAAGCATTTCAAGGAGTGCCCTATAAAGGGTAAAAGATATTACCAACAGAGAGGAAAGGGAAATGTGCGCATGTGTCCACTAGAGGGCGCGCCAAGGTGTAACATTCACCTATTTAACGTCTATTCTTTATGAGGGCCTTAAATACGGCAAAAGACTAAATAAGATTCATCTCGTGTGTGTTTTAGGGTTTGACAAGGTGGTTTACTCACTCATCATGGTCAGAAAACATTAGAAATGTAGACTGAGGTAACGTTTAGCAGAGGCACCTGCCAAGTAAGTGTCTTTATGGGGTCCTAAATTACCTATTAAAGTCCACTGACTGTGCCAGGAGTCAATCAGTGCTTGGCTGGGTTTCTGCCAGCACCACTAACGTCATATAGACCTAGTGGAGAAATCAAACTTCCTTTATTTCACCAAGAAACTTCCACAGAATACAGGTGGATCTCTGTTGGATGAAGTGGATATTTTTTTTGCCATTTCTGAGAGAATTTGTGGGTTAAATTTACAAACTTGTTTAGAAACACAACCACTGATAAATGTTACACTTTTCTTTAGTGCATTGAACAGATTTGGTACCTTACCCGGCCAAGGTGAGAGGTCCAGTGTCTATCTATTTAGTTTTAGTGTTTTGTCTCTTCAGAAATCAGAGCAATGGCTCTAAAGTATCAACACTGTGGAGAAAACTAGTTTACTTGACAGCCATGTAACTGAAAACAAAACAAAACAAAAAAGCAGGGTAATTAAATGAATTTGAACTTAATTGTAACTTGTAGCTTCAGTGTTGCTGCAGTCACCAAGGCTGCTGCTTCAACATTATTATGTCTGTCTCTGAGTGGATCCACCCGAAGCACCCGAAACACGCCACATGCTGGAAACAGACTTCACCTTGAATAACCCCAGGAATCATGTTGCTTTGGCCTGCTCACCAAACATTAACTTAATTACGATTGATTTCAGAATTCGTCTCCATGGACAGTTAGATCGCACCTTATAGATGTAACAACTTTCGTATTTTCTACATTACAATTTAGATTTACATTAATTTGTGTACCCTGCTTTTACCTTTTCAAGACATATTTTGATCATTAGCTGTAAGTAATCTAACAACTCATAGCTTCAACTTAATAGTGCCATTCATGCGGGTAAACAGTTGAAAGTCAGAAATAATTTTTTGATGCTTTAATCAAACAGCAGCAACAAAATAAATACATTTGGTGTAAACTGAAAGTATTCCACTGTAGGATCTTGTCAACTCTTTTGAAATGTATTTCCAGGTTGGCACAAATTTGAAACAGCTCATTCACATGAGTTCATGTTGATAAACTGGCCAATAAATTCAATTTGTTTATAACTGGTTCTCCTAAATGTTTTAAACCAACACTTATAGATGTGTTTGGATCTTTTTTTCCCCACTCCCTGTCACCGGAAATGAGTATTTTAGATTTTTTGTAGTGCGCACAACCTAATCAACTTGAATTGAATTCACAGGTGAAGCCCAGTTGCTAATTACTTATGATTAACTTGCGATTTCGTCATTGAATTATAAACTTCAGAGCCACCGTGGTCATTTTATTTTGTTTTTATCTCATGCAAACTGCAACTCATTATTTGGAACCTGTCCAGATGCACAGAGCCTATCTGTATTGGAATGGGTGTGCCCATGCTCAGTTTCATGTATAAAACCCCCCATGGTTGGTGCTGATCGCGGTATTCAACTTTAACCAAACAATCAATAGACAAGATGAGTCTCAACGCAACTGACAAGGATGTAGTCAAGGCCTTCTGGTCCAAAGTGTCTGGCAAGGCTGATGAGATCGGTGGTGACGCCATGTCCAGGTAAATATCTCCCCAAACTACCCGACATAATCTGAATTGTTATCCATCTATTAATTACTTGCTTATTATTTTCCACCCAGGATGATTCTGGTGTACCCACAGACCAAGACCTACTTTGCCCACTGGAAGGACTTGAAGCCCGGCTCTGGCCCAGTGAAGAACCATGGAAAGATTGTGATGGGTGGAGTTGCTGATGCTGTGAGCAAAATCAACGATCTGACTGGGGGTCTTCTGACCCTTAGTGAGCTGCATGCCTTCACTCTGAGAGTGGACCCTGCTAACTTCAAGGTACTGAGGATGATTGACGCACACCAGTTTCTGAAACTCATTTTTGTATTTGCTCTGCATAGCTCATAAAGCTGTAAAATGAAAACATTGTGCATGTTGAAGTGGTAGAAGCTGAAATTGTGGCTCTCTGGCTGCAAGTCTTACAATGTCAAAACAAACAAACAAAGCAAAAGAAAAACAGCACAGACAGACCCAATCATAGTGCATCACTGTGTGACTGCACTGCTCTTCTCCAAATTCTCTCAATATTGGAGCACCCTGTAGATAGATTAATGACAGGATACTGCAGCATGCATGACATAAAAGTTTTGTCGCTCTGGGCCGTTTTAACCTGTAATCTTTCTCAGAGACGAGTGCACCTCCAATCTGCAAGAGTCTTAGTGTCCACTGTCCTTGATTCTGAAGACCACCATGGCATTATTTTGCGGCAACTTCACTAAATTTTGTTTTCTAGTTTTTTTTCTCCCTCTCTTATTCAGTTGAAATACAAATATGACAGTGTCATGAATCCATAAAGATGTATGCTAATATAAAATCAAAAGTCAGAGGTTCTTTCAGCTGCAATGTCTGTATGTTACTAAAAGTCAATCTAGGACATAAGTGATGTGTTTTTGATGCCGTGCACACGTTAACCCTGATAACAAGAAGGGCCCATAAACGTCCTGATGTGTTGTCCATCACTTATGCACAATCCTGTCACAGGCACAGCTGATAAATGTAACTTTTAAGCCTCATAAGGAAACACTGAGATACCACAGTTTGATGCATCAAAGTCCTGTTCCTGTGTGAGAAGGAGGATGGAAGTCAGTAAGGCACTTTACATGCTGGATTAGTCTAAACCCACTTTAAAAAAAAACAAACAAAACAAAAATAGTAAAGAAGTCTACTTGTGGCTCTTCAGCGTTTGGTCAAGTACTGAATTTTCCTCTTGTGATCCAATCAAATATTAGGCTAGAAATCAGATGCATTTGCCATCTGTCTGAATATTGTATCATCTTTTTTTCCAGATTCTGGCTCACAACATCCTCGTGGTCTTGGCCATCATGTTCCCCACCGAATTCACCCCTGAGGTCCATGTGTCTGTGGACAAGTTCCTGGCTGCCCTGGCCCGGGCCCTGGCTGAGAAGTACCGATAAACTGTGTGCAAGAGCAGCAGCGATAACGGACAGCAGCATGGGCTTGTACTCTTTCTGTTTGTCTGAATTTCAATAAAGAAACAAATGCAATGAAACAGTCGTGCAGTGTATTCCTATTGTGTTGGTACACAGGTTTCATGTTAAGTCAATAGTTCCAACATTAATGAAGCAGGGTTTAAATATATATATATTTAAATTGGCCAGAATTAATACAGAGGAGCTTTCAAGAAATAGCTCACATTTAATCCAAGAACAGGAGGGATTTTAGGGTGTATCTTTATACAGCTATTACAAAAACAGACTAGATTGTAGACAGGCCTAATTTAATATTAATATTACAGTATACATTTTTAATTTGCATTACTTTCTAATGTGTTTTAAAAAGGTGCTATGTGAATAAACACACAAACAGGCAGTGTGTAATACTGTGCTTTTATAGGCCTATACAGCGCTCAAGGTTTTTGTGTTTTGTTTGTATTTGTATTTTACTCCATTTTCCATCTCACAACATTTCAGATGTAACTATTATATGATAATAACAATACATGATATTATAACATGTGTATAATAGAGGTGTGATTCTGTTTGATGACTACTTTTACTGTTGATGCTCGAATGGGTTATACACTTTAGATTTCTAGTTTATTTTTGTTTTTATATTGTGGTAGGCATTTGACAGTATGAACTGCTTCCATCACAGGCTTTAACATGACTAATTTATTTTACCATATACACAAACTGGGAGAAAGCCAAAAAAATTAATGGATTATGACTGCTACGGCTGCCTGGATATCAACAGTGAAGTCTTTCCCAAAATGAACTCATCTGCACCTGGAAAGACCTGCAGGACTCCCCATAGATTTATATAGATATATTTCTTCTTCTAGTCCTGCATGGGTTAGTGTAACATATAACTTTTCAAAGAACTTCTTCCAGAAGATATGCAACTGAGATGAGTTGGATAGTGAGTTGGTTAAGCTAAATGTTGCTGTGTGGATGTGCAAAAATGGTGAGGAAAGGACAAATATATGGTCCTAACCTTATGTCAGAAAATAGACTGTGTTGATTGTGTGGTTAATTTCCTTGTCTGGAATGTAATAAGAAATAACACATTAAAGTCTCAGCTTTAATTTAAGTAGGTCTACATCATTATAGGCAAAAGTGTGAATGAGATATAGTCTTTTAACTGAAAGAACCTAAAGTTTTGAGGTAATTGGACAGAAACACGTGTCATGTTGTAGAAACTAACTGTCTGTAATCTTTAACCCGCAGACATCAGCAGGAGCTGGCGATGCTCCTTCTGGCCTGCAGCCATCATCAGCTGTTGCTTGTTGTGGGGATTCTGCTTTTAGTCTCGTCTTGGAATTGAAATGGAGCAAATGAACTGGGCAGTTGAAGAAATTCCGCTTCTTCACCCTGAAAAGCAATCTGGTTGCTGTACGTTTAAGATCATTATCCTGCAGAATGATGAAAAGCTGTCCAATGACAAAAGCACCACGTTTACCTCTTTTAGGCCACAAACCTTTCCTGTTTGTTTCCATACACTGTGGAATTTCCATCCTTTCGAGAGAGGTTGATTTTTACTTCATTAGTTTACAGAAATACGTTGCATTCATTTAACACTCTGCATTAACAAGTTTTCCAAGGCTGAGAAGCATCCCCACATCATGATGCTGCCACCACCATGCTTCAAAGTGGGGATGGTGTGTTTGTGATGATGTGCGGTATTTGGTGTCCACCAAACAGAGCATCTAGTCTGATGGCCAAAGTCAAGTCAAATTAAATCAAATCAAGTTTGTTGTCATTTTTCTGTACATACAACAGCAGTAAAGGCAAGATGAGAGAGCGTTTCTCCAGGATCCAATAATTTTAAACAATTTAAATAAAGAAGTGTTTGCATATCCAGATCAGCAGTTCAGCATTCTGACAGCTTGTGGAATGAAGCTGTTGATCATTCTGGAGGTTCTTCCTTTAATGCTCCAGAAACGTTTGCCTGATGGTAGCAGTTCAATCAGTTTATGGAGAGGGTGTGAGGAGTCCCTGACAATGTTCAGTGCCCTGCTCCTGCATGGCTCTGGAAAAGTCCTTGCACAGAGGTGAGGGAAACTCCGATGACCCTCTCAGCTCCTCTAACTGTCCTCTGCAGGGCTTTTCTGTCTGACATACTGCAGCTGGAGGACCATGTTGAGATGCAGTATATCAGAACGCTCTCTGTAAAAAGTCCTGAGGATGCTGGCAAGGAGAGAGGCTTTTTTCAGCTTCCTCGGGATTTGCAGTCTCTGCTGGCTCTAGCTCAGGTCCTGCGAGATCTGCACTCCTAGAAACTTGATGTTCTTCACTCTCTTCACTGTGTAGCCACTGATGCTGAGGCTAGCATGCTCAGGACGTGACCTCCAGAAGTCGATTATCATCTCATTCGTTTGTCCACGTTGAGCAGCAGGTTGTTCTTACTGCACCAGCCCTCTAGGTGTTTCACTTCATCTCTGTACATTGATTCTTTGTTCCTGTGAATAAGTCCCACGGCATTGGTATCATTCATGAACTTAATAATCTGGATCCCCTCATGTGTGGCTGCACAGTCGTGTAAACAACAGTGGACTGAGTACACAGCCTTGAGGAGATCCAGTGCTCAGCGTGATGGAGTTGGAGATGTTCTTTCTGACTCGGACAGACTAGGGTCTTTTGATCAGAAAGTCCAGGACCCAGAGACATGTGGTGGTATCCAAGTCAAGTAGGAGGAGTTTCTCTATTAGTCTCTGGGGGATGATAGTATTAAACTCTGAGTTGAAATCAATGTACAGGATTCTAGCGTAGCTGTCTTTATTTTCCAGGTGGGTGATGACTGAGTGCAAGGTGGTGTATTTTGCATCCTCTGTGTAGCGGTTGGGACGGTAAGCGAACTAAAGGGGGTCAAGCGATGCAGGAAGGCTGGCTGTGATGTGTGGTTTGACGAGCCGTTCAAAACACTTAGTGTTTTAGTCATTCAGACAGGCTACAACTGATTTCTTTGCCACTGGAACTATGGTGGATCTTTTGAAGCATCTGGGGACAATGGCCTGACTGAGGGAGATGTCAGAAATGTCAGTCAGCACATCTGCCAACTCGTCAAGCGCAGACTCTGAGCACATATCCCGGGATGTCATTCGGTCCTGTCGCTTTTCATGGGTTGACCCTGGCCTCAGTAGACCAAACCTTTTTCCAGTTTATTTCAGAGTCTACCATATGCCTCTGGTAAACTCCAGTCAATATTTAATACAAACCTTTTCAACAGTGGCTCTCTCTTTGCCCTTCTTCCATAAAACTTTGAGTGCAGAAGAACTTGGGCAACAATTGTTAAATGCACAGTCTCTCCTATCTCAGCCACTGAAGCTTCTAACTCCTTCAGACCAGTCATAGGTGTTTTGTTGGCCTCACTCATTAGTCTCTTTCTTTCGTTTGTCTTCATGGTGGAGTTATATTCAGGAGTACTGATTTACCAGTGACTGGACCTTCCAGATACAGGTGTCTTTATACTACAGTCACTTAAAACACATTCACTGAACTCAGATGATGTCCATTTTACTAACTGTGTGACTTCTAGTACCATTTGGCAGCACCTGGTTGAATCACTTTAATGGGGGTGAATAGATATGCAATCACTCATTTGACATTTACTATTTCTAGTTAATTGACATTACTTAAATATTAAATTGGTTCTACAACAGATCTATGTGAGACTTTCTGCATCTTTCTGAAAACTGAGTTCCAATACTTTGTTCAGTGTAAACAAATAGACTCTCTTGAAACAACAGGTTGAGGTACTGTTACAGCCTCCATCGAAAGTGAGAGGTTGATTAACTTTCAGACCACACAGCGAAGTGGATCAGTACTCATTCAGATATTTACTATTCATTATAGCTATACTTTGGGAGGGAAAGCACTGTTGCCAGTTTTTCATGAAAAAAATGTGCAGTTTGATATAAATGGGTGGGGTCATCTGAAGTCAACGATAACAGTGCACTAAAAATATCATGAGGCCATGGCTGAAAATCAATGAACTGTTGCCAAAATGCACAGAGTGCCAGTAGCCTAATTCCTGTTTCATCTTTATTTAATGGAGTCTCATCCTCTGATGTGTTTTTTAGTGTGGGCTTTGATGACTTAACAGTTTACTGAAACTAAACTCAGGCTAAATGTATTTTATGAGAGTCCTTTAGCCCTGATGTTTCCTTTTTGCTGGGCTGTGTTTGCAACACATGCATCTTTCTTGTAAACTTCTACAAAAGCTAACCTTCAGGGAATGTTCTCTGAGAGTTATCTGAAGGTTCCTCATTGCTTAGTGGTGTTTAAAACAAACTGTGATTTTCTTGTAAAATTCTGCAGACTTTTTGTCAGGGAACATTGCCTTCTGAAGGTTCCTGTTTGTTGGGGTTGGTTTATGTCTTTAAAACCCATCAATAAACAATGGAAACCAGTTCCCTGGACATGGCTTAACAATTACATACTGTTTCAGATCAAATTTGACCAGTTTTGACATTTGACAGCAGTGAAAATACCTTAAACATCATTCTTTTAGCCTGAAATGTGACGACTTTTCCTAAAATGACCCAAAATACACAAACATGAAAATATTTAAACATTTTATACTTCTGTACAGGTGCTACAAATGTTTCTACACCGAGGCTGCTTTGGATCAAATCTGACCCTTAAATCTATGGATTTTAGATCAAACAGTGTGGGTCAAATCAAGGAAAATGGTGATTTAAGGGAATCTTGAAACCGTGAAACTATACAGGCCATGTTTTATGTGTATTTTTTTTATTTGCATTTATCAATGTGATATAGGCTATTTAGACATTCTAAACAGGTCTGTAGTTTAAAATTTGGTGTGGACACTGAATATGAGGGAATTCTTGACAGGAATTCGTCACAGTATGGTCCTGATCAAAACTGACCCGAACCATACTGTGAAGGCATAAAATATGAACAGTATCTTTGGGTTAAGTTTAGTGTTTGACCAGAAGAAATGGTCTGTGGAGGACTAATCCATGTTTGGGAAACTGAGAGTAAGTTATCAAGCTTTTAGGACACATAGATGGCTGACTGAAGCTACGGAAGGACTGCTGATGCTGAACCAGGGGGAACCTTGGAGCCGCCGTCCTTGTTCCAGCCGAGCATTTCTCAAGGTGACACAAAACAATCGCAGCGGTGCAGTGGATTGACAAGCCCAGGGAGGATTTCAATAGACAGGCCGCAAAGTTAACTCCAGGCAGACAGTTTGTGTAGGGCCGGTGTGTGTGTATTTGTACAGACTGCAGCTGAAGCAGGCTAACGTTCGCTGTGTGCTCGCACGGACACTTTGTTGTGTCGCAGCTAACGTCCAGTTAGCTAGAATGCTAACACGATGCTAAACCCATCAGCCGGGTTACCAGATGACCGAAAGTCCATGTACAGTCAGTCCCAAAACAGCGTGTACAAAAGCGGCGACAAAACCAGCCCTATTAGCGTCATACTGGTTAGCTCTGGCAGCCGAGGGAACAAACTACTTTTTCGATATCCTTTCCAAAGAGTCGCTGAGTGTCCGTCATCTCTTTCAGGTAGGCGTAGCATTAGCATTAGCCAGAGTAATGAACAGTAAATCAGTTACTCTGTCAACAGAAACCCTTGACTTCATGGTGTCACCATCACGTATTTACACATTTATAAGACATGTAGACAGTAACAGACACCTCACAATATACTGCAATACAATGCATCAGCATCATTTTGATGTGATTGGTAGCTTTTAGGTTTATTCTCCTGTTCCTCTTTTTTTTTTGCATACATCATTGTGGTAGTTTGAGATTAATATGAGACATGTTGATGAATTTGAGGTGATTAGTATTTAATTACTCCATATTTAGAACTATTTCACCTACTTCACATCTAGAAGAACAGTTGTTAATGTAGCTTCACTTGCTAAATAATAATATGTGCAAAAAGCTAACTTGGAGGTAACAGTTAATCAGAATGTCATTGAAATCACAAGATGTCCAAGTTCAAATGATAAATTGCAGGAGCTACATTTTTATAAATAAAATTAGCATTGTGTTACCTAAAAAATTAGATTCTACAGGCGTAAAGGAACATCCTAAAGCAGCAAAAATCACATCCATAATTTATATTTGTGGAAATATAAGTGAAAAAAATCACCATTCACAATAAAATTCTGACTCATTTGGCAATCACAATATGATTATTAGTCATTTTTTGAAAATTGTTCTGCCCCACTTGGAGGCACGTAGTCTCACCAGCATTTTAAAGCTGACGCTCAGTGCCTGAACTGCTGATGCCTTGTGTGGCAGGTAGGTCAGGATTGAGAACTTGACAAACACTGGAAAGTGCAACAGTGATCGCAAGTTGTATTTCTTACAAGCCCTGAGAAAGACCCTTACTACAATGAGCTATAACTTCATACAGTAAAAAAGCTTTAAGCAGAACACAACACCGACACACGTGTAACGGTCAGTGAGTTGTCGTCAGTGGAATATCATATATGTTGTTGTGGTTCTTCACTTGGTTAAATGTTGTGACTCAGATATGTTTTTCTACTGTTTCATCATGACTAACCATTGCTACTATCTGTTCACAAGCAAAACAACGGAGTCCATATGCACTGCACACAACTGGAGATGGTATTGAAGATCAGGATGGTGATTCAAGGTATTCTTTTGTCTTTAAATGATATTCTTAATTCATACATTGACTGTACGGGTCCAGAGTCCATTCTGAGATCCAAATGAGCATCTTACGCTCATTTTGTTTTTCCTCCCTCTTGTTTTTGGTCGTCTTATTTGCCCCACCAAAAACACAGTTTTGGTTTTTTTTCAAAGGAATTGTGGAGTTGCCTCATTGTTACGTTAGCCTGTGTAGTAGAGCATTGCTAAGCTTCATTACAATTCTAATTTAAAAACATAACACAAACTTTTGTGTGGTCTAAACTTTGTTGTGCTAGTGATTTTTTCATCTCCACGTTATCCATAGAAATATGATGATAAAGCATCATTACACAGTCTTTAAAGTACGTTAAATCAGCTTTCATTTTGTTGTTTGTGATAGAAACCATGCCAGCGATGGGTCACAGGTGAAATAGTGTACTGACTAAAACATGCACCATTTGAGAAGGAAGCCACTCTTAAGTAAAGTCACAACAGTATAAAACTCACAAGTAGTTTAAGAATTTCACAGATCAATTTGCCAAAACATAAGAGGACAAGTAACCTTGCATGATGAGCACCTGAGCAGTCTGGACTGTCTGTGGCAGATGAAACATGAACTTATACCTGTTTGCAGCAATGGTGTCGATGTCTGTTTGTCAAAAAAAAAAAAAGGCCCAGACATCGAAGCTTTCATTCTTGTCTGTTGTTTCCAACAACATTTAATTTTCCTCATGCTGCCACTCCACGGATGGTGATGCTGGTCCGTCGTTAGTTGGTTGAAGTTGGGCTGTGGGAAGCAGCCACGAAGTGAGAGTTAGACTGTCTAAGAAGTAAATCAATTTAGCAAACCAGGCCTAAGCAAATAAGAACTAAGACAAGATCAAGAAATTTCTTTCCCCTCAAATTTTACCTTCTGATTTACTCTAAACAGGCTTTTATCATGTGCATTCCACTCTTACAGTTTTGTTTTTGTTTTTTTTGACCATTTTAGAGAGATGATGTTGAGATGTACAATGGTAAACAGCACAGCAGAGATTTATACAAATGAGTTTACCATAAAGCCATTCCCAGAGCTAAACATGTAAGGCAGCTGTCGTATCTGTCATTCTTGTCTTGGTTTAGAACCTGGTGGCAGCATTTAAAACTCACTGCATGAACCTGTTTCATTGTATATTGTTTTGCAGTGTTTGAAAGCTTAGTTGTTCTTGATGACAGTTTCAGGCTTCCTTATCCATATAAACTGTCCTAAGATAGACATTTGTCAACATTACTGACATGAGGGCTTCATCAGGGTATACTAGCTATTGGCTTGAATCAACATGCAGACCAGCATTTTCACATCACAGTATCACATGTTTGTTCGGGTTGTTTTGATGTCCATTTTATGCATTTAGCCCAACTGTGTGTTGCATTTTCCCTTTTGTTTGCTTTTTTCTTCTTTTTTTGTGGCCCAATTCCCATTTCAGAGAACAAACTCCACTAACTGACGAACAGTTGGTAGCAGGGTAAGACCAAATCATTCTAAACCACCTTTCCTTCGCTTAGATCACCCCCTGTCTTTTTGTCCCCTTCTTTTTCCTATTTTGTGACCTAAATGGATCTCCAACCCTAATCTTGGTCAAAATCCTTGTAAACGATGGAAAGAGGATGAATCAGTGCTGGGGTTATGGAAAATCTGTTTAAAACTATTGGTAAAGTTTTGATTGACATTGATCATATTAGCTCTAGCATGGAGACTCAGCATTGCAGGACAAAATTCAAATCAAATGGAAACTACGATAAAGCAACTACTTCACATTCATTTCCAATTGTGGTGGTGGAGTAAGTCCATACTGTGTTTAATTTTTCTCGAAGTTAACACCTTAATTTTTACCCCTTTGATCGCAGCATGAGTTACTTCAGTCAAACCAGCATGAGTCTTTCACACTCTTTATTCATACAGCAATTTCACTTTTTCTGCAAGGAGGCCTCTTCCTCTTTTTTCCTCTCCAGTAGCCACACAAACTTTTTTATTTATACTCTGATTGTTGAATTACATTTCAAGCAGGTGCATCTGATTAATGCAACCCCTCTTATAGACAGGAATGTAAAACAGTGTAAGCAAACTGAGCTAATTTAACCTTTCTCAGCTGTTTCTGTGCTGTAACCTCTTTGCGCCAAGCGCACTCTCTTATTGAGTCTGTTCTTCCTTTTCAAGGTTCTCGGACATCATCCTCGCCACCATCCTGGCCACCAAGTCTGATATGTGTGGAAAGAAGTTCGAACTGAAGATAGACAATGTTCGATTTGTGGGTCACCCTACCCTCCTTCAGCATCCTCCCATCATTCAGGTAGGAATAAAATGACTCAGCAGTTCTTCTTGTGTAGAACAAAGTAACTGTAAACACCAGGTTTTTGTCATTATCTTCTGGTCTGACTGTTTGTGAGGAAAATCAGCATGTTGTACTCTCTTTTTCCCCACCTGGTGAAAAAAAATATTGTGGATTCAATGTAGTTCTACACAGAATAGGAGTGCAGCAGAGCAAGTGGCACTTGAAGGAGTTTAATTAGTGGGTACGGTGATTTGTGATGTGTTTTTACAGTAACTATTACTTAGTTAAAACATTAACAACACCATCTCCCTTTATGTTGCTATATTGTTGTTCTATGACCCACCCAGTTCAAGGAAGCTTTGAATTTTGGTAAACACATTGAAAACTTGAGCAGTGCCCTCTGTTGACAGTTTTCTAGACTGATGATTCACTGCATGTGTTGCCAAGATGATGGTATTTTAGATGGAGACCCTGACAAGATGTTAAAAACTTTAAGCAATTCACACTGAATGTTTACCCACAATACGACCCACTATTGAAAATAACAGCTTAAGTTAGACTGCAGTACAATCAAACAACATGTATTGTATCCAACTGTAGAAATGACCATAGATTTCTGTCAGCACCTCTGTGGAACACCTTCAGCCTGAACTGGACATTTCAGTTTGGATAGAGCTTGATTTATCTAAAGGGCTGTATGATATTGTGTGGGTGCAGCTTTTATAATGACCGCGTCTTCACTTAAACGTTTTGATAATCCAACATCATTGTCATTTTACAGGCAAAAAAATTGAAAAAAATTACATTTTCTTGTCAAATGAAAGACTTTGCTTCATTATTTTGCCCAGTTGTTTGAACAAAATAAAACATCTACATTTTTCACACTGGGAAGTTGTGACAGATATTTTTCACTAACGAAGCGATATTGAAAATAATCATTAGTTGTTATACGTAAATAAAATACTGACAAATGTCTCTGTGCTATATTTGTGAAGTATTTAACATAATGTATATCAATTACTAAACTCTAGACTGACATTTTATTTTATAAGATAAGATTTTTTTATTTTTTTTTAATTTTTGCATCATGTGAAAAGTTTGTCTTCTCTTTGTGCAGGTTTCTAAAACAGACCCTTCACCTAAGAGGGAGATGCCTACGATGATCTTGTTTAATGTGGTGTTTGCATTAAGGGTAAGAAAAAAGCTTCTTATGATTTTGATTTGTAATTATAATTTCCTGCATTTTAAAGTGTTTGTAGATATTGAAGCTTAAATTGATATTTAAATGTTTTTGCATTCAAGTTAGCTGTCTGTGGGTGGGACACAAATGTTGTGTTCTGTTAATCTGTGTGCTCTGTGAATGGGAGCGGTGTGTGTGAGTGATAATATTCCAGTATACTCTATCTGTGAGAGCATGGGAACTCAGAGGGGGGGCGGGCCAGTCTACTGTGCTTAATCATGCTGCCCAAAGAGGCGCAGCCCATTCCTGCCCATGCTGAGTCACTGTACTGAGTAAGTCTAAGTACAGCTGAGAGGGGGCAAAAAGTGCTCAGTCATGCTTCGTCATAACTGTCGCAACTGTGGAAAAGAACAACAGTCCTATTGGGTGATTTGAATGTGGTGCATTGTGTATACATACTGCTGACTATTTTTTATTTGATGTTATTCTAAATGTTTTTTCATACTGTTTTTCGTCTTTGTATTCTTTCAATTATGAAACAATGACAACTGATCTATTGACCTATTCGAAGAGACAATCACTGATTTTATTTTCCATTTATTTTGTGTTTTATTTCATCCCAAAGGGCAGATTATAAGAAACACCTCCTAATATGTTGCAGTGCAATACAGCACTTCTGCTAAACTTTAGAAACACAACAGAAATGAGGCAATGTAAAGGGTAAAGTCATTCTGAACCTTACAAGTGATATAAATTATTATGTAGCTTTTGTTTAAATCTGTATTAAATATATCAGGAGACATGTAAGTGTAATTTGAGTTAGGTGTCTGTTGCATGCGAACATCTTCACATGAAGAGCTCAAAAGTCATTTATATATTAAAGGCACACATGCATTTGACATTTTAAGAGTTAACAGGCTGGAAATGTTTGACATGAAGGTGAACTGAGCTCCAAATGAAAGCACTGATGATGCAAATAGTTTAATAGGAAATCATTTAGTGCTAATACAGACAACCATCATCTATACACCGCACTAGGGTCACGGGGGGCTGGAGTCTATCCCAGCCGACCTTCACCTCAGGATGAAGGCAGGGGACACCCTGGACAGGTCACCAATCTATCACAGCGCTACACATAGAGACAAACAAGCACACTGACATTACCCAGTGCTAACCACCGAGCTACTGTGCAGCCCCTAATATGGACATTTTTTTTTTTTTGTCAAATTATAAACCTCTCCTGTGTTTCTACAGGCAAATGCTGACCCATCCGTCATCAGCTGCATGCACAACCTGTCACGCCGCATCGCTATAGCCCTGCAGCACGAGGAGCGCCGCTGCCAGTACCTGACCCGAGAAGCCAAACTGATGCTGGCCGTCCAGGATGAGATCACAACCATGACTGAGAGTGAGATACACACATCCAATTTGCAGCTCTGCATCAGTCGATGTACAGCTTCACAAAATTCACTGTGTATTTTGGTAAATTTTTTGTACAACAATGTCTAAAGGCTAATATTGTATGTGAGGATATTGTTTTGACAGTGTTCTTTCTCTCCTGATAACGACAGATGAAAGCCCCCAGTCCCCATTTAGACAGATTCTTCCAAAATGTAAGCTCGCCAGAGACCTGAAGGAGGCTTATGACAGGTGTGTGATTAAGCACACTGCACATTTATTTGTGGCTTCTTATATACTCTGCACAATATATATATGTTATTGATGTAAATTTTTTTTTTAGCCTTTGCACTACTGGTGTGATGCGACTACATATCAACAACTGGCTGGAGGTGAGCTTCTGTTTACCACACAAGATCCACAGGATCGGCGGCAACTACATCCCCCCAGAGGCATTAGAGCGCAGCCTTAAGGCTATAAGGTATGTCTGACTTTCATTATTATACACAGCATTTTTTTTTCCTCCTGGTATCTTCGATATGACATTATACTACAACTAACTTGTTCACCGTCGATCACATGGGGAAGATGCGTTTTTAAACTTTTCTCTGTAAAATACAACTGAAAGTAACACTTCTACCAGTGCCCCAATCAACAGTTGTGAACTGTGATATTAAAAATGACCTATCCCAACCTGCCACAGATACTCCACCCCACAGTCCACTTCTCAAGGCATAGACACACATATAAAGTTACTACAAGTGCTATTACAGATAAGGCTTTTGGAGTCCAATATTTGATATTGATATAATAAATACTATTAACCATAATTACATTACCAAGACACATATATAATATTTATAACTTATTCAGTTTAATTCAATTCAATTCAATTTTATTTGTATAGCGCAGTTTACAACACACGTCATCACATAGCGCTTAACATATTAAGGTACAGACCTTACAAATTTAAACAGAGAACCCAACAGGCGGCCATCTGCCTCGACCGGTTGGGTGAGAGTTCGGTTATATCAGTTTATATACAGTTTCCTCCTATTTTTTACGCAAATATTATACCTTTTAAGAATAAAATTACTTACTGACCATTAATGTCCTGCTTTTACCTTCATGTTTATACAGTTTATGATCTACTAAATTTCTTTCATTATGATAATAATTTGTTAGAAAATACAATCCAGCTGTGACAGTCAGCTAGGAATGTGAAGGTACAATATTTTCAGTTGACCTGGTTAAGGAAAAAGACTTACTACAAGGAATAAAGTTAAGAATCTAACACACATACATTGACCTGCACTAAAATGACCAACTAGTTTATGCAATTGCATAATGACCAAACAGAACAGGATTGTTAGAGTCCCTCTTCATCTGTGTTGTTGGATGTTGAACCAGAGCTAAGCTTGTCCAGTAAAAAAAGCCAGAATCCTTGAAATTGATTGTGTGGTCTCTCATCAGTCAGTCATGGTGTGTCTCTTTAACAGCTGGGCTTGAAGAAACCATGCAAAGCTTTCTGTGAGCCATACTGCCACCTACTGACATGTCTGCATGCTTGCTGTAATTTTGATCAACATCTACATTCACTGTCTTTTGAAGCTGAACAAAATATACAAAGATGATGTTTGTGTGAATGTATTATAGCCATGAAATGCTAACATGTGCAAAAAAAAATCAAAAATGATCAGTTTACAGAAGGGTATGCATAGAAACTGGTAATACAGTATATTTCTTCTGATTTCTATTTAAACTTCCTCTTACTAATAAGGAGTTCCTGTTGATCTGTTATTCTTGGTTCCCGTAGACCCTATCATGCCCTGCTACTGCTGGAAAATGAGAAGGAATTGCTCCACCAGCTTCCCCTGGACTGCTCACCTGCGATGGTTCGTCTGATCAAAACCTGCTCAGCAGTGAAAAATCTGCAGCAGCTTGCTCAGGACGCTGACCTGGCCTTACTTCAGGTGCAGAACAGTCACACTACCTTCACGCTACTTCACAGCTTTGCACCTTAAACCCGCCAAATGTAGTTTTCTGACTTTATGTCATTTCCTGACCTTTCTAAGGCAGTTATAGTGAAATACAAAGCATTTTTCGTCACTGTAAAAGCCAAATGATAGCAGTCACTAAGAATGTGGTGATTGTATTGCATTTTAAACCTTTTTTTGTAGATATTATAAAAAAGAAAATACATTTTATTCATACATGTAGTACATGTGCAATATGGGGAGAATCAAAAATACAAATGAAATGAATACAACAGTTGGAATGATATTATATAGTATGTCTGAGATCTATTGAGAAATATACCATTAGATATTATTCAACCAGAAAGGGTTCTTGAGTGATAAGCGCTTACTGCCACCTAGTGGGCAATGTATGTAATGCAAATATAAGAGTGTTCCCATGTGTAGTGGAAAGAAGTTCTTACATTTTCCTGCTACAGCTAATTTACAATTGTAAAACATTAGCTCACTTAGATCGTGCTATTTCACATCATATAGGTCGCTTGAAAAATGTTTCCTCTCTCTCAGATCTTTCAAATTGCTGCTCACTTGGTATACTGGGGCAAGGCTATCGTCATCTACCCGCTGTGTGAGAATAACGTCTACATGCTGTCTCCTCATGCCAACATCTGTCTGTGAGTATCTGTGATGTGATGGTTGGCTGCACCAGTTCCTGAAGAGCTAATGAACCACAGTACTGCTGAGCACTCATCCATGCCATCACCTCATATAGAGGTTTAAAAAGCTCATCCCTATGAATACTAAACAGTGATTGCTAAAGCGTCTGCTAGTTAAATCTTCTCACGGTGTATTATGTGAGAATTGGGTCACTGATAGTAGTTACAACATTATGTTTTGTTTTTTTGTTTTTTTTTAAAGTCATGTTACTTAAAAAGATCTGTGTTGTTGAATATCATGTGTCACTTCTCCCTGAATAGATACTCCCCATTGGCTGATCAGTTTGCCCAGCAGTTTCCTGGTAATGATCTGCCCTCCATGTTAGCCAAGTTCTCACTGCCCGTCTCACTGGCTGAGTTCAGAAACCCGCTGGAAGCTCCTGCACAGGAGGTAGGATTATGGCAACAGTAAAAAAACAAAACAAAAGATAATAATAATAATAATAATAATGACATCACAAAGGATTGTAGGAAAATACCCAATCTTTTTAAAATTCTCCTCATGGTTTTCTCCCATGTTGGGGACGTGGTCTGTTTTCTACGTGTGAGCCTTTGTTTTCAGAAATAAGGAGAAAAAACAATATGTGACCCATCTGCACGAAATCGGTCGCGTTGCGCCTTGGGCTATTATGCGTAAACAAAAGTGGCATGTTGCTACCACATGACGCAAATCACGGGACAGGATTGGCTGGCAATGACATATTGCTCGCGGCGCCTGCGCACAGGTGATGTCCACGGCTTCTTTCTGGTGTTACTGCTCATGCACGCTGACAATATTTGACAGCGATATGGAGCGTAATATTACATATTATGTTACCTGCATGTAGAAGACAACTAAATGGATCGATCTAATTAATAAACCCAAAATCAGTATTTTATCATGTGTTAACGTAATTCGGGCTGTATCTTGGATAAAGCCCAACGTGCAATGCGACTGATTTCATGCAGATGGATCACATATGTCTAAATCAAGACTATCCTATAAATAAAAGTAAAATGAAGTTTGGGGGAAGACATTTGAGTTACAAAATAATATGTCTTGTTTAGGAAAATGTGTTTTGTTTGTCATTATGAATAAAAACATTATTGGACAAACGTTTATGAAAACAAAAGTTACCTTCCTGTTTTCTGGTACATCTTGAGTATTTATAAGGCTATTGCTGTAAATTGAGACACTCTGTTGTAAGAGCAAGACCATCTGTTGTTGTCCTCCGACCCATCTTGTTTTGGCAGAGCTTTTGAGGATGAATTATAAATGGCAAAAGGGACATCAACTCCAGCGTCTGCATCTTCCATTTTATATGAGGACAAGATCAGAGCCAAGGCTCTTTCCTGCAGCTCTATTTTAAGCTTGTATGGTGCCCTTGGCTGATTTAAAGCATGTTTGATCTAGTTACATGAGCATGATGAGTTTCACTTGTTCAATATTTATCCTACGCCCAGCTGTAATGCAGTTTGCTGCCCTGCTCTGCTCCTGGCCAGGCTCAGCTGATCCAGATGGTGGTATGGATGCTCCAGCGCCGCCTGCTGATCCAGCTGCACACTTATGTTTGCCTGTTGGTACCGCCCAGTGAAGATGAGCCTGGGCTGAGGGATGAAGACCCTCCCCTTGCTGCCCGAGTCGGAGGCCGCAGTCTCAGCACCCCAAGTGCTCTTAGTTTCGGTTCACCGAGTATGTCCTCCCTCAGCTCTTTCTTCTTCCTCAGCTCTCACAGGTATAACAGGTCATACATAATCTATGACAAGCTGTCTGTTTTGTCCTTGTGTTTAGCCAGCAGTGATGATATGACCCTAACCAGTCCCAGCATGGACAACTCTAGTGCAGAGCTACTACCTGGTGGAGACTCCCCGCTCAACAAGAGGATGACGGAGACACTGCTTGCCAGCCTGTCAGAGCATGAGAGGCAGGTTATTCTTAACATCCCTGCTGCACAAAATCCAGAGGATCTGCGGATGTTTGCCAGGTAATTAAGTTTGCCTTAAACAGACAGACAGAGCATTTACGGTGCTTTATATTTAGTGCACTAAATGCTTTCCAGCTCACCATTGTTGTCTGGTTTCATACATTCAGAATATTCATTGTTTTGCTGCATTTTCAAGTCTAAGAGTGGTGCAGATTAATGACGTGAGCCGATGACATTGTTTTATATTTTCAAAGAAATGCTGCAATTAACCGTACAATCTTAACCCAACAAGTTGATATTGTACTTCCTGAGACAGATTGCAACCAATAATTTATTGGACTAATCTTTCACAATGTGACATGTAATAAATTTAACACAATCGCTGCTGTCACTTAGTCTATGAAGGCCTCTTCACAGATGGACTGAGTTTTATTGAGCATCCAGTGACTCATTATGTTATAAATCACTATTAATGCTTTGTCTCTCTGGGAATTGGAAAATGTTTGTGCAATGGTTGGCTAAATGAAGCTGTTTTAAATGCATTCACAGAATATTGGGAAACTTAATTGGAAAAGATTGGCTGAGGAGTTGAGATAACTTGTCAGCTGTTAGTTGTGTGCATATTGTAAGTAGAGAGGGTCCAAACAATCAGACAGTCAGAACTGCAAAAGTTCTGTCATATGGATGATTTGCACTGCAAATGACTGAGTGAAACTCTAGCTCTCAACCTATTTTTTTGCTGTTATGTTGACTGCTTCCAGGCTGTTACACTATTTCCGGGGACATCACCACCTGGAAGAGATTATGTACAACGAGAACATGAGACGCTCACAGCTCAAGACGCTGTTTGACAAGTTCCGCAGTGTCCTTGTGGTGACCAACCATGAGGATCCCATTATTTCAATTTTTCAGTCACCCATGGAGTAGTGGCACAGACGCATCAGCTCTCAGCAACTGGAAAATGTGTCAGTTTGGGAGCAGGTAATAGCCTGCTGTGCTCACAGCTAAGTGCTCTAAGTGCTGTTTTAAAACATATTGACATGATTGCATTAATGTGTGCAGATTTACAAAATGTAAAAAGTGTTTTTCCCTTATGAGCCAAATGTTTGTTTACAATATTAAATTATTTTGTACATACCAGACATGCCTTTAGGCTTCACTGTGAATATTGGAAGGATTGGTAAGGTGGGGGGTTGACTTCATCTTCCCCGGTCCCAGATGTGTTAGATCATCTGTGCTGGCTTCAGAGGGGCACACTGAGTAATGATCATTCCAGACCTCCAGCTACCTCTCCCTTAGAATCCCAGAGGTGGGGAGAGAAAGACAGCAAGAAAGGGAAGAGTCTAAACATCAGACAGGCTGTTTTTGCTGAGAGGGAAACGGAGCGTTCCAAACATCTGTGAAATCACTGAGAGGAGAATTTCCCAAGTGTGAATGTTTATTAAAAAGTGCAGATGAAATGAAACGTGGAACGCTCATGAATGTGTAAAGGTACAATTCACAACTGTTTTTTTAACAGGCACTGATGAGCTGAGTCTTGTTCTAGTTCTTCAGTATAGTTGCAATTGATTACTTTCCAGTACAACCCTTAATCAGATCTAAAAATGCAAAATATCAAAATAAGTAGCAGCTAACAAAATGGAAGAAGAACCTTTTTTTTTTATTGGTTAGGATATTAACTGATCATGGACTTTATTCACCTATTTCAACTGTCAGAAAACTACAAAATTATAAAAATATGATTGAATAATTTCAGAAAGTATTCATTTCGTACGTTTAAGATGTAGTGTATTCACAAAGGGAACACATGGCAGAGTAGTTTCAGGAGTGTTCCTGTTAAGTCCTTTTGACATTGTGCAGTCCTGTGTCAGGCTGCACATCTGAGGGACCTGAATTGTTCATTACATTTCCAGACAGAGACTGTCTCTCTGCCTCTTTGTTCACAACACTAACACAGGGGTGCCCACGTATATAAAACCGCCATGGCTTCTTGGCCCATTCCCCGTGAGATTCGATTCCAACGCGTGGTGCAGATACTATATCGTGGGGTTTTATTGGACTTGCGTCTGGATCCCCCTCCAGCCACACCTCCGGGTCTGAGGCTAAGTCTCGACGGTCAAAACAGCGCGGTACATTTAGGGCCTGGCACAGCTTGGAAGGCCCGTTGCAGAGCTCTTTGTCCTTCAGTGGACGGGCTCCCTCTTTGCGTCTGGCTGCCCTCAGCTCCCTCATGATGGGCTGACCCTGCAGGGGCTCAAGTGAACGCAGCAGCACAGCAGCACCCTCCCCTGGGCAACACAGCACACAATATGCATCAGTCAGCAAGGCTCCACTCAGTCTCCTTCCTTTTGCCCTTTACCCACTGATGATAGAAAACACAAACTACCATATCAGTTTAACATTGTTCTAATGGCCAACACTTTGAGGTGGGACAGTTAAACCAAAACTGGCTTTTTAACATCTCTTACGTTTGCATTTGCAAGCATCAGCAGGTATAATTAATACGGCGTAATGTGCTCAACATGGAGCAGGTGTTTTGGTTGGTTATAGTTTTACCTTCACTGGACACATTCATGCAGAGGTAGATGCCATAGATTGGATACACATAGATTGTGCCTGGCTTCATAAACATGGCTGTGTTCCTCTCGGTGCGTTTGCCTCCTGCTGAGTGTGAGGCCTTGTCCTCCCCTCCCAGATAGGATTCGGTTTCCACGATTCTCCCTCGCAGCTCACTCCCGTCCTCGTACTTGCGGACCAGAACCTGCAGGTACAATCAGACATCTGTTTCTCTTGAGCTGAGTCCATACATGGAATTTTAAGTTAATTAAAGAGTAACTGCTACAAATTTATTTTGATAATCAAAGCATAAATTCCTTTGTTCATCCTTGGCAAAAACAAATATTTTATTAAATCTTTAACAGTCATCTGGATGTCTTGCTTTAAAACAGTTAATCCTGAAAAAAAAGACATTTGAAGATGTTACAGTTTTCTCTGGGAATTTGGAATCTCAGCTTGACTGATAAATCAGTGAGCCGATACTACTGGCCTGTTGCAGATATGTCAGTATTAGGATATATATTATTCGATATGTGCAATGTGCTTTTTCTTTTTTTTAACAGAAGAGATAAATATGCTTGGCATTATTTGAAAATTGTGTCAGCACAGTTTGTCTGCCAGATTGCTCTCAGACTTCATTCTATACAATATTCTCAGAATTTTCTGCAGCACAAGTAGCAGAGTACATATCACAGCTGAGTAGATGATGGTGCCGAGTCAAGTAGTGTCTTCACAGTAAGTTGTGAACTACTTTGTGATATACACTGCTGGAGAGATAATAAATCAAGATCCCATCATTTTCCTTTCTCATAATTTCTCTAAGATATACAGTCGTCCTCAAATGTATCCATAGCCTCCCATTAAAGAAGGAAAAAACAGCTGTCACTGAAATAAGTTGAAATTGACAAAAGTAATAATAAATAAAAATTTAATGAACAATATGACATTGCTTTTGAATTGTGGTTCAACAGAAATTAAAAAAACAAACAAACAAAAAAAAAAACAGCAAACAAGCATGTTGGGACCCGTAAACTAATAACAATCCTTTGAGCCCATCACTGCAATCAAGTGTTTTCTGTAACTCTCATCAGACTTCTGTACCTGTTGACAGGTATTTTGGCCCACTGCTCATCAGCAAAGTGCTCTAATTTGTCCAGATTATTATTTTTTTGTTTGTTTGTTTTTTAAATTATTCTTTCCAACCACAATTCAAAAGCAATGTCTTACTTCACTGAATTATAATTAAAAAATGTTTTATTCATTATTACCTATTTCAGATTCTAGTTATTTGAGTGACTATTGTGAATTTTGTCGTCTTTAATGGGAGGCCATGAATAAATTTGAGGACGGCTGTATGTATATATATAAAAAATATCAGCAGACATGTCAATATTGGAATTTATTTACTCAACATGAGGCCCCAAAATCCAATATTAATCAGGCTCTACATGGAATGGGCATATTTCAGTTTTCCAAGACCATGGAGGTTGAACCAAGGTTGTGGATGAAATATCAAATGCAATGAAGAACAGAAGAGGCTGACATGTGAGTTCATGAGGCTCCTGCATTAAATGAGAAGTGGCATAACTTTCAGATAAGGATGTCTTGTCTCAGGTCACTGTGGCTTTGAAAGACAAAAAAATTAATTTAGCTAGTAGTCTCTGTGACTACTTTTTGAATCTGCTGCACTAGCACACAAATTACTCTAAGCACATCGATCACAGTTATTTATTTGGCTTTTAAATAAAAATCAATGGATGAATAAACAATGTGAGTTGAGAGCATTACCTTGCCCAGGAATGCTTTAGCCAAACTAAGACAAGGTTGGTTGAAAAAGTCCTCTCCCAGCCTGTGCTGCAGGTTGTTCTTGATGAAATAATGGCTTCGCTCAGCCTCTAAATTTGGAGTACTTTGACTCTGAACTGTCTTCTTGAGTTTGGCAGCTTTAAATCCCGTCCCCTGGTCTCGGCCAGGTGCTAAGGCTAATGCTAACTTCTGTCGTTTTCTACCTGCCATAACCTAATCGCAAATTGGGTCGGACTATGAATTAAAAACACTTCTACCACACTGTTACTGAGTATTTCTAAACTCAGGAACAGCTTTTATGTTTTTAAAAATGTATTTGTTGCCTTATGTGAGTCTTGTATGAGCCGTTGTGTTAGCCTGCTAGCATTGCGGAAGTAAAGGTTTGTTTTGTCTCTCTTAAAGGGGCCGCGCACCTTTTATTTGCTCACATAATAAATCAGTCTATTGATGATGTTGCCATGTCTTAATATTTAAGACTGTCTCTGAATTGTCCATCACTTGTTTTTGTCCCCACAAAATTCTCAGACACACCTTTGCACACCAGTGCTTCCTTCTTATACCAGCCCCACTGCTGATAGATAAACCGCCACTTCAACCTGTGGCCTTTTCCTGCTGCTGTCTTATCTTTTCAGCATCATTTGGATAATAAGAGGTTATAAATAGAGCTCTCCACTGCCTGTGTCCAGGAAGTGCAGGGCGCCAGTTTGGCCCCAGGCACCGTGGTGCGTCCATGTGACTCTCTGGAAGACTAACAGCGTGTGACATGCTCGTGCCACTGACTACAATTTCTTGAGTGAAGTACAGATTTGCTGTTTTGTCATGGAGACACACAGTGCTGCTTTGAACTGATGATAACGTGAATCAGGATAATCAACTGCAGAATGGCACACAAAAAATGGATTAAAAGGGAAGACAATGTAGATGACTGTTGCAAACATTTCCATCCTTTTTTTTGGCTTTTGTTTATCTACATGTTTAGCCACATCCACCATCAGATTAATGAATGAAAATGAATGAAAAATACTTTCATAATGCATATAAGCAAAAAAAAAAATAAAAAAAATTCCTCAGGAGATTCTGCAATCGCAGCTCTGAAAGACTCAATCTGTACTGCTGTTCTGTACATGTGTGCTGATCCTTGTCTGTTTTGCACGATTTATGTACTAAAGAGCTTGTGTTGTCTTTTGCAACTTGTTTTAGAAACATTGGAAGTTTTTCAGCGTGAGATGAACCTTCTTAGTCTCTGCAGCCTGTGCAGACTGGGTCTGCAGGAAAGTTTTATTAATACTGCCTGGTCCTGTGGTGACTTTACACTTGCAGCTCCACACCACAATGCCTTTCTTTGTATTCTAGGCTTCCACTCTGTTCTGATGTTCTCCTGTCTGCTGCGCTGAACTTTGGCAGTGTTCTGCTGCCGATCTTCCTCCCTTCAGCTACAAATGAGCTCTGATACATCCCTGTGTTTAGTTTGGAAAGTTTTTGTTAAGGGAGCCTTCTTATGCATTCTGCAGCTTGCTTGGTGCTTTGCTCCTGCATCATGTTTACCTCCCCTACATTTACCTGATCTGATAGGAGCATCCCTTGCTTCTCTACCAAAAAAGTTGCAAAAGAAACACATACGATGTTCAAGTTTGCAGTGTATGCAATGTTATAAGAGTATCCACTCATATGTGTAGCAGCTGTGAAGTGTAAGGTTAGTGCCTCATGTGCAGTAATTGTTTTGATACTCAAGACTTTTCTATTGACGCTTACATGTATAACTCTACATATAAACACATTCATACAATGTTAAATTCCTGTGGAGGAAGAGAAAAAGCTTTCGTACCTTTTCATTTCATCCTATTAATTCTTAAAATGTGAAAAATGAAAAAATAGAAACAGATAAGAATGCAAAGTCATCTCTCCTCTGGGTGGTCAGATGTTCTGTGTGACACTGCAGAAATGGATAAAGAACACATGCCACTGGGTTAAAGGTAAGTTGATTTACGGTAGCTACACAAAAAGTGCCTTTAAAAACTCCCAGCTCAAATATTTGCTTGGCTAGTTTTTGGATGACGTTGCACTTACTGCATGTCTTCTGTTATCAGGACTAAATTCCTGAACGATTTTAATTTTGATTTCCTGGATCCTGTTTTTCTTATAAAGCAGAGTTATTTTAATTACAAGTAGTAGATAATAACGTCATGCAACTATGGAATCAGAACAGTTGTATTTCTGATAGAAGAACATGACAGAATAAGTACAGTTAATATGAACATAAAGACCTGGACCAACTCTTTGAGCCAGGATAAGTTCCAGACAGAAATCTGCTGAGCATGTTCAGTAGAAGTCTCCTGGCATTGGGTTGTTGACTTTGTCATGGCCGGTGGACCAATGAAGTCCATTGTTTGCTATGACTGTGTTTCCACTGCCTGTCAGCAGCGACTGTGCGGTCTGGGCCGGGCGGCTTTCATTGTTGCTGCCACTGATAATCTTAGCAGCCACAGTTTAGCGTTGCATTCTGGACCACTTTCAACTCCTGCAGCCCCCTCAGCGGTAGTGACGCTGAGCTGGGACACCAGAGACTCATCTGTGTGTGCAGATGGACGAGCAGAATGCTGCCTCACTAAAAATATCTTACTACAACATGAGTCAGAGAATCCTTAAAGAATAGGGATTGATCTGCTGGGTTTAATATGCTCGTGTTAAGCAAGGAAGTAACTCATTGTATTTGCTTTTGATTAAGGCTATGATTTGATTAATCTGTGAGGAAGTTTATGTTAGAATTTATACTGGGAATTCTGTCACTTTGTTTTAATACTTCATTAATCTACATGAGTAGAATAGAATAGAATAGAATAGAATAGAATAGAATGCTTTTATTGTCATCGTACACAAAGTACAATGAAATTAAACTCCAGTGGTGCAAAATACAAGTATAAAATAAGACAAATAAAAATAGATAAATATATTTTTAAAAGGAGCCAGTAGGAAGTATACACACTTTGGAATGATAACAGCCAAACGATAGATTAAATATATTGCACTGCTGAAATACGAACACTGTGGATATATGATAAATATATCCCTGTTCAGTCTGTTTACATACTGTGTGTAGTTTAACTGCTATCTTTGGTTCATCACTTGCTTTGCACTAAATATTACAGCAAACACATGACCAAAATGAACTAACTAACTAAAATAATATCACTATCTTTGCAGTCTTTTATATTAAGTCTGAATGCCGATATCTTCATTGCAGACAACCTCATCAATTTGATTAAAATAAATATTATTTATAGACTTAAACCTTGATATTTTCCTGATTTTTCTTTTTTTTTTTTTGCAGACTATCTTTGAGGGCATTTATGGAGACATGAATGTGGAAAAGCCAGTAGGGGAATGATAAGCAGCAAATGGTCCAGTCATCCAGGAATCAAACCAGGGACTCGCTGCTCCAGTCATCTGCACCCATATCTGGTGTGCATACGCACTCACCACTCGGCTTTCAGGTTGGCCCTCAATTTTCTATTTTCCCCCTTCTTTCCAAAAATATCTCAACAAAACTGTTTCTTGCACCAGTGGGGCAAGAATAGGAACTGCAGCATACGACATACAAACAAATAAATAGTGCCCTTTGAGCAGTGGGTACAGTATCGCTGTTATAACTGCGGGAGACTTAACATTGCATCTCTAGTCATGATTTTTAAAAAAGGACTTTCATAATGTCCTTTGGTGTAAATAAACACAACAAACTATTAGTGGCTATGTGTCAGGGCTTTTAAGATGCTGAGATGATCTCTTGTCTTAGTCTGGGTTTAAATTTGTATTGCTTACATAATATCATTATTTAAGGTGCATAACCTATTATTTATTTTTGCAAGACAATTTGGTTGTACAAGTCTTCTCTCCATTACAGATTGTTCCGTAATAGTCTAAATGTTTTTTTCAGAGACATTTTTGCCTCGATGATTAAAAAATTATCAATAAAATATTACATTCTTCTGCATTGGTAGGCTATATTAAATAAAAATAATAATAATTTAGCAGAAGTTTTGCTTTCCAGGAACCCCTTCTCATAGCACATATAACTGCTTTTTTTTCCTCATCAAAACTGTATCTGTGGAGGCTCCTTTCTTGCCGTGACTATGAGTGGCAGACTATGAGTGGTAGCCATTTGCATCCTCCGTGCATGATGGGATTAATTATTAATTGATGATAATTAATGATTCATGGGGCTCTTTTCTTGTTTGCTGCAGAGGTGTGGTGTGTGCTGCACAGGTGGCTTGGCTCTCACTGGGAGATGGAAACAGGAGGAGTGCTTCATTTAAGACCCAGTTCACACACCTGCACAGCAGAGGCATGCTCATGGAGAAAGGGGGGTTGTCTTTTTCCACATCCGGGATCTCACGTTTTTAACACAACCGCCCTTCTATAAACATGGCTTTAGGAACTACTGTAAGCATGTGGGGATTTTAAAGTTTTATCTGGAGCGTACACAACTTACGGATTTGTTCAGCATTATAGAATATTGGACACATTTTTCAGGTTGAGGGTTAGATTTACAAGAGTTTAGTTTCCAGCTATTCAGTAGAGACACATGAGATAAACCTCTCTGCAGAATCCAGTTTTCAAAGTGCAAATGTGAGAGTCAGTTACATTTTGAGGGCTGTGCTAGTAAAGACGAAAACTTCCAGCAATTTGGTTTTGTTGGTTGAACCTGGACCAAAAACATCCCCATCACCCCTTCCCTTTTCTGGTAACAGCTTCATTGTCTCAGCTCACACCTGTAGCCCTTAGCGGGAACAACTGCTGAGTCAGACAAGGATAGGAGGGGGGCTGCCTGCTGGGTCTTAGTGGATTTATCACAACAACAAGCTAGTATAAATCTGCACAACATACTCACAACATTTTGTAGCAGTAGATTGCTTTACACCAGTAATGTGCAGCATGTGGTCCATACATTGAAAGAAAACCTGCTTGCAGTGACTTCTCTTGATTGTGGGATCAGTGCTACGAACAAACAAAACCACTGTTTCTCTGTGGATTAAAATGTATTTTGAGATGTCAAACTTTTTTTTGTTGGAGCAAAATCAATGGACCCAGAAGTATCCTTCTGGTTACATGGTTGTAAACAGCAATTGGCCTCTTTTGAAGATGTGGTAAACCATGTCACCCATGTACAAGCACAAAACTCTCTCTGGCCCTAACCCAGAAATGATAGTCTCCCCTCTGTTCCTCTGCTTGCTTGAAGAAAGAGGAAGCCGTTTATGGACCGTCTGACAATGTTCTTTTGGTTAAACATTATCCTTGCACTCAACCCTTTTATCTGCATCTGATTGATGGGCCTTCAGGGGGCCGTGAGTGCTCCTGCAGGTCCTGGGTTGCTTTCCTAATTGCTGCCTTTGACCCAGCTTCAACCCTCCTCGGTCCCACGGGGAACTTCACCATTAATTACTGTGACTTCATGGTATATCAATCAGGAAGTCCCAGCAGGCCACTGAACCATCCTTACACAGTCCAGAGTTGATGAAGTCTGATAAACTCATTCCTGTGGTGGGAATACTATCTTTTGCCTAATTTAGGGCCGCGTCTCCGAATGAGCTTGATTTGAAGTGTGGCTATGAGTCACGCTGGCAGGGACGACACCCGCGGGTGCAGGACAGAGACGAGGCTTTAGCTTTTTATACAGTGAGCAACATATGTGAGCAGCTGAGAGACCTGCCTGCTGTATGTTTATGGTTTGCCATCACGTTTGAGTTGATTAAATCCAGTCTCAATGCAGCGATTGGGGAAAAAAAATAAATGAAAAAGAAACAGGATGATTCTTGCAGCAGATTTTTTCTTGTGGGAGGAGAAGTTACAAAACCTCCAAACCACACATTCATGTTTCCTGTCCTCAAAAATGTGTTGATTTCTTAAGGAATAGCATCACTTCTGGGACTTTTTACAGAAACTGGAAAACAAATGTACAGGAAATTTAAAGTTTTGAAGAAGGATGGGTTCCTGGGAAATATTAGCATTTCATTAAAAAAAAGAAAAATGTATTTTTTATTGTAGTGTTGCTACTTTTACTTGAGTAAATGGTTTAAAGGCTTTTTCACCTCTTGAAGAAACTGTATTCATCTCTTGCCAGTAAAGAGTGAATGTGAAAGTAGTCAGCCACTGTTCTGGTAATATAAACAAGTCATGTGCATTGTCAGCACAAAATGGAGCTTTATTATGTCCTCTGTTATTTTAATAAGAGAAAGGTGCTGGCGGACACATTCAGTGTCTTAATAAAGAACCAGATCAAAGCAGCTATGGAGGAAGAACTTTTCCAGGAACCTGAGACACTTGTGCCCCGAAAACTCATCTGAGGAAACCTCCGTGCTTGGTGCCCCCTGTCAGCACCTCAGAAACTTTCTGCTTCCTAACATCCATCTGTCTCCTGGAGAATATTCCCAGGTGGATCTGAGCTTTCACTGAAACCAGGGTGGAATGCACTGTAATGGTCTTTTCATTAGATGGAACAGCAGGATGTATTACCCGTAGCTGGAGAGGAGCCACGCTCACTCAAATTAAATCTCCGCGTTTATGGCGTAAAGGAAAGTGATTTTGAGTCAGCAAATTGGTTTTGGTATTGTTTTTTTTTTTTTCAAGGTATGTTCACACTGCAACTAACAGTTGAATGTACTGAAAAATACAAACTTTGACTGGATAAATGAGATATTTTTAGTCATTCTAAATGCTGCTTCTGTTTTGAATTCTAGTGTTGTTGTTTTCCTTTTACTAAGAGGGTTTTTATTTAACTATTTGCATGATTCATATGTTCCTCTTTGTTACAAAGTCCGCCTTAACTTGTGTATTATGAACATATCAGTTTCCAAGCACATTCCTTACCGTTGTTTTTCAGGTAACGAGACAGACCAGTGATGTTATATGTGTACAGAGACAGAGCAGCACTGTCAGGTTTAATTTACTCCTCAGCCGGCCATATTAACATCAGCAGACCCAAATCCCAGGCTCATATGACACTGCTGTAATGTGCAGAACGTGGTTGCTCGCTGACCTAAAGACAATTTCTGGGATTTCTATAATAATTAATACGCAGGCTCAGTAATGACGCAGGATTGTATCATTTCTCTGAGATTTGTAGGGAGCACAGGGTTCATATGGACATGTGGTGCCACGATCATCATTGTGTCATGTGGTAACAAAGCAAGGTTTGTCTAAAAATGGACCAAAAAGCAGAAACAAATGTGATGGTTTGTGCAATATTTGTCAGGGTTTTTAAAAAAATGTTTTTGCACCATGTAATGATAAACAATTACTCATACAGCTTGAGACTCTCAGCTGCTGAAATATGACTTTGAGCCATGTCCGAGTATAATTCAGGTGGTTATAAGTGATGAGAAAATCCAATAACTTTAGCTTTTGGTGTGACAGAAGGAGTGTGTAGTCAGATTTCAAAGGTCTGGGGATATCTACAGTTGCCTTGGGTGTAAATAACACAGTGGATAACTAGACGGATTCCTTTTCTTCTGCAGGGACAGCCACAGTCTTGTTTTGTTTTAGCCTGTAGTTGTAGCACTTTACATGCAGCAAATACAAAATGGTCATTTTTCTGAATAAAGAATGGAATAACCTTTCTGTCAGAGGAAGTGCCTCTCTGTTTTATGTATACTCACTTTAGATATTTCCACTTTCCATTATGTGACTTTGGTTTTAGATTCAAAGATTCTGAGGTTTTACTTTCCACATCCTCTTAAAATCTGTGCAAAGAAATGCAGGGTGGCATATTCTTAGGGCTTTGCTGCAAAACAATAAATATTAATACTTAAAATTCAAACATAGTAAAACTAATTCTGCTGCTTAAATCACAAAATACAAAACCTTTTCAATTGTTTTCATTGTACATGAACAATAATGTTTGTTAGCAATTTTTTAAAAAAAATTTTAAAAACAATTAACTGTTACGTCAAAGATTGTTCCATGTTTTGTTGAATTACAGACAAATCACATTTGTAAAAATATTTCATTTACATGTTAACTCTTTTAAAAATGGAGCCAAAACTTTACATTATGTCCACATAAAAAATAAATAAATCAAATGATAAATTGTTCTTTATCGGCATTTTACAGTAAAATTACACTGTTTTGCTCTATTTATATTAGCAAAAAATTCCACAATTTACACATCTTTGCCATTTGTGGAAAAAAGAAAATCTAAATTAAGTATTGAAAAATAGCAAATAATTTTTAAGATTGTTATTTTCCATATTTTCTGCTTTATTAAATCACAGATAATATCTTGTAAAACCACAGGAAAAAATGCAGTACATGTTGACTTGTATTTAATTCTTTTAAAGTGTGTGGCCATAAGTTAGACCGCTTATTGTATTTAAATTACCCCAACAACCTTAGATAAAACAAAAAACACAATTTTATAGTTGGGTGCCATTATTTTAAAGAAAATATGTGTATTCGGGTTAAATACACACACACACACACACACATAAGTTATATATATATATACACATACGTTTTTCACTTAACTTTTATTTTACAGATTTTCCATGTTTTATAAATGTACACATCACATCTAGTAAAACCACATATCGACTGTAAAAAAAATTTAAAAAAGGCCAAAAGACATAAAAAATCGACGTTGGGTGTGACCATACAATTACATTTTAATTGCATTAAAATCTGCTTAAAAACAGGATTTTACAGAGATTAGCAATTATTTTCAATGTTTTTTTTTTCAGTTGTTGAGTATCACAGCATAAATATAATATACATTTTTATAAGCAATGTTACATCAGTGTGTTTCATCTCAAACAAAATCATCATTTCGTTCATCATTTTCATTCAGTCATTATGGTTCATAAGAAATTAGGTCAATTATTCTCATACATGTTGAGAAACAGAGTACAGCAGTGAAACGTGTCATGTGAGGGGCCCCAGAGAAAGTGTTCTGGTCCAGTGTTTGGAGTGGATCGCAGCAGATGGAGAGGGTTCGGGCCCCTGGACCCCTAGCTGACTGAGGATATCGCTTAGTCACCGCCGGTAACCGGGAGAAGCAGCGCCGCCCTGTGTACGCACCGATTGGTTGGTGATCTTGACGGGGCTCGCCTTCTCCACAGACCGTCTTCAGTCCAGGGCGGGGCTGACTCTCCACCAAACTGAATTAGGCTACAACCGGCAGAAGAAAACTTAGCCCGGCTCGATCCATGGAGCAGTGCGGGAATGCTCTGTCCGTAGGTGGGGAGCGCACAGCCCGGACGGCGGCCACATTTCGGCCACATCCTTTCGGACTGCCCGAGCAGCTGTTGTGATCAGGAGTGACCGGATTGAATACTACGGCACCGGGATTGGCTTAAAAAAGCATCTGCGGGGTTGGAGAAGAAGAAGAAAAAGAAGAAGAAGAAGAAAAAAAAGACGCGCGTTTGTTGCTGCGCCGCTGTTTAGGATGATGTGACAAATCACTTCTCTGCTGCCTGTGGAAAAAAATCTGTGGAACCGGATTTTTTAATCCCCCACACTGCTGGAGATCAACTGAGCTGGTTGTTAGAAGGGTAAGTTGTGTCATTATATCGTGACTGTCTCTCCTGGTCGCCCATACGGAAGGCAGCAGCCGGAGGAAGCGCTCACGCGTCGTGATCGAGGAGGAAACCAGCTTATTCTAGTCGATTGAATTACTGCTCAGTTTGGTCGACACGGGAATCCTCCGGGTCCGGCCTGATAAACACAGCATCATTAGGGGGGGTACAGGCTGCTGGTGCCGTTTGCGCAGCTTGTTGTGGACTTTTTTTTTCTCATAGTGAAAGTGGGCTATTTAAAGTACCCATGTAGTAAAACTGGGTCTGCGCCTTTAGGCCCCAATCACCTGTTTAAAAAGTGTGAAATTCCCACGACATTCAAGAGATGTTGGAATGGAATTAATGGGCTGTGAAATAAGCTCCATGTCCAAAATGAGACACAGGCTGAGAGGCTAAATTACTTTTTTTTTTCTTAAAGTTGAACTTGGCCCAAATGGTTTTAATTTGAACATAAGAGCAAATTTATTTTATATGGCTGGAGGCTGATTGGAGGAAATAAAGCTCCGCTCTTGGCCTTATTTGTAAGAATTGAGCCTAAATGACTGTGCTGTTGAATATTCATGCAACACATCACATGTAAAGTCTCACCATGACCTCACTCATCCTTGTCATTCTCCCTCCCACTCCTCCCATTCTTCCTCCTCCTGCCATCATCAGCATCTTTAAAGACAGAATCTGTGGGAATCAACTTATGGTGGTATCACACATTTCTTTTTGCTCAGATGGTTGCATACAGAATTCATGAGTGGCACCAAGAGAGCAGCAGGCAGCGTTGTTCCTGTCACATCACCTCACCGTTCTCAGTTTCTGGGAACCTGAGAGCGTTTTGGTTTGTCCTTTTGTTTCATTTTGAATCGTGGCTTTCGTGACGTGTCGTGACTCACAGCAGAAAGTCACAAAAGGGCGCAAATTCCACAAAATCATACGCACGGAAAAGGGCATAGGTTTGACTCATCGGAACTCCGGGACGGCAGCACACATATTAACAGACTGTAATCTTGTTGACATCGGAAAGGTTACTCACACCACTGTCCTACAATACCTGGGCAGACTGAAGTGAAACTGTAGACGTACTGTATTAGAAACTGCTGAGTTATTTTGGCAGACGGGACATAGGAGCACATGGCCTGGTTTGTGTGCCCAGTGTTCCTGAAACCTTATCACATGGAGCAGGGAGGTGTGGGGGGGAGATCATAGCTAGGGGTGATGTAATCCCACCGATAAAGTAAGCCCCTAATGTGTGATCGTGGCAGTCATGCAGGTCCTCTGTATCTGCTCCAACTGGACCCCGGAGAGAATATTCCCAATGTGTGTGTGTGTTTGGATGTTTATGTGATACTTGCAGGGAGATGGGAGCAGCTCCATCCCGGCCGGCCTTTGTTGACTGGCTGGTATGTGAGTTTTTCAGAGGGCTGCTGAGGGGGCTACACTGTAGTCATGCCTGCATGACTCACGGCGCGGTATCTGTCTGTCTGTCTGTCAGTCTGGCCAAGTGCACAGTCCTGTACAACTGCTTCATGAGTTACAGGGCAGGATTTCACGCTCACTGGTCATGTTATCAACCTTCATTCAGTGCCATTTTTTTTTCCATCAGATATCTCATTCCATCCATTCCCAAAGCATGCGGCACAATGCAATCGCACCACAGTGATGTTTTTCATGTGTGGCCTGTAATCACTTCAAGATGATTTATCCACGAGCAGGACACAGTTCCTTAGCTCACACCGGGCTCTCTTTGTAGATTTACTGCTCTGTTGATGAGATGTTGCAGTCTTCTACAAAGCCGCTCCTGAAAGAAGCCTCCTGAAATCTGAAATCTGCCTCTTCCTGAAACTGGGTGTACGCTGCTCGTTTTCCTCAGTCTGTCTGGACAGAGCTCTGTCTCTCTCCGAATTCAGACGAAATGAGCGTCACTTGGCTGAACACTTCCATGTGTGCCGAGCACATGCTTCTCTAAATATCCTCGGGCTGTTTCACCAACAAACACATCTGGATCACAAAACTTGTTCACTTGAGAGTCCTGCTTTCCAGGCAGCCTGGAGGTTACAGTTATAACTGATCAGGTAGAACTGTGTTGTTCTAGGATACTGTGGCTACACTAATCTATCCATGCGGCTTTTGCTATCTGTAATTATCATTCATATGCATAATGGATGTGTTTTGTTAATGGAGTTCAGCAGTGTTGCACAACATATTGATTTCTGGCTTTTACGATAAAATGCTTCTCATTAAACATCTTCACATAAACCCAGATAAGATGAGGATTTTCTATTGCTATTCTCCTCAGCAACTGCTTATTCCAACTCTACCTTGATTTTTACGGTGGAGTTGGAATAAGGAATAGGGAAAGTATAAAACGCTTGTTTAAAACACATGACAGCTTTCTTGTGGCTCCACTATTACACTCCAGGGTGAAGTTTTGTGCCTTATTTTGTGCCACCTTTTACAAAAGTCAAACAAATTTGCATTGATCGTCATCCACCCTGTGAGTTTCAAAGACGCAGTTTTTGTAAAAGATGAATGAATCCAAGCATCGTAGAGCCGCATCACACATTTTTCTCACACCCATGTTGCTGTCATCTAATCCAGCACCTGCTTTGTGGGAAAACTGCCACAGTAAAGATTTGTCTCCTGGGCTGATCGGTGAATGTGGGGCACGGCAGCAGCACCTGGAAGGGTCAGACATGTTAACCAACCCGTTCTGCTGCTTTACAAAACAATACACGTACATTCCTGCTAAATATATTGGTTACAACTGTTCCTACAACCGAGCTCAAACAGACATTAGCTTAAAAGCATGTCAGGTGCGTTTGATGGTGAGAGAACCCACAGGCGGCGTTTGATCTCGTCTTCACCGGCGCTGGTTCGCCTCGTACCGTTCCCCCCTTTGATGTGGTTACGGGTTTTGACTAAGTTGTCAAGGAAGAACAGGGATTTTTCTTGCATGTCAAATAAAGTAGTATTTATGGAAAAGCAGACACCGGGCTGTGTCTGCGGTGCTGTGCCTATGCAGTATGGAATGTAAGCAGATACATCGCGCCTTGTCGTTGAGGAGTAAACAAAACAACACAACACATATTGGTTGTGGTGCATGAATTTTTGTTTATGCAGGAAGTGTGGTGCGAGTGCATGTTATTGCTGCTTGTTTTCCCAAATATACAGTACGTGGGGTATTGCACAAGCGCTTCCCCTGTTGACAGGCCCGATTGTGTGACTCACTGCCGCTGCATCCAATTGTCCCATGACACCTTGGCGGGTTGCATGATGCAGCGGCAGCCATGACGATGAATTCAGCTGTGATGTAATGCTGTAATGCAGCAGCAGGGCTATTTCAGGTCTACCTCTAAGCCTCCAAGGCCTCCATCTGCCAGCATGCCAGCCTGCCCCTCTCTCAGTCAGCACCTCATCTGTCATGAGCCAGACAGCCATACGTGAAGCGGCACTCACAGAATTTACTAGAAGCCTTTTGATGCGCAGGTTAGGAGGAAAAGTCACCAAAATTGAAAATGCCGCCAATTGTTTTTCACAGCTATTTGGTCGAAGCCAACATTAGGCTGCAGCAGAGATGAAAACATGTAATTTGGGACTGGCAGTTGCAGGGTGTTTTTTTGGGTCTCATAAGCTTATGTTCTCACTGACATGGTGTCTGAGGCTGGTTAACCTCAGGGCAAAGCTCATTTTCAGGTCTGTGGGAATGCAGTGTGTTTTTTCCCAGAAGGCCAGCGCTTCCAGACAAGCAGCGATGTCTTCTTTGACCTTTGATCTTCCGCTCTGAGTGTGAAGAGCTCTTGGAGGGTGTGTCTGCAAATAACCCAATAAATGTTGTTACCTGATGCCTCCAGACAGAAATATTTGCCAGGTATGTAGCAATTGCAATTCTTTACCTGGGTAAAACCCCCTGGCAGTTGCAAAGCTCACACAGGCTCGAATTGCAGTCGTGTGACTTTTGATAGTCAATATGTGAGAAACCAGTCCTGTTTGTGTGTGCACATGAATGTTGTTATTCCTGTGGTGGCGCTTTAACTATTGGGAATCAGCCTTTTCAATGACTGGGAGAACTTGCCACAAGTCAAGTCAAACAAAACAGAATGTAAACTTTTTCCTCCGTAACATTTTCTGCTTATTTAGTTGCTGCTACTCCACGTTGCTGTATTGACAACACTATACAGTGTCTGTTTACTTTTCCTCAGCTCATTGTCAGGCCAGAGAGCCAACTCAAGGAACACCCTGACTGATATAGTATCCCTGTACTGTTACGGCGGCGACGCGAGTACCGTTTTAAATAGGGTAACCTCCCCCCCCGCCTGCTCTACTCCGCCACCCTGCTCTACTCTCGTCCCTCTATCTTTGGCACAGTCAGTCGTCATACCCAGAGGCTGTGAATCCACATTGTGTACCAGACTGCTAAACTCAAGTTGACTGTTCCCTGAATGGAAGCACACACAGTTATATCTGGACAGCTTCAACAGTCCCACCAACAGCATCACATACCATGCGCCAAACTCACTCCAGCAGATTTCCCAGAAATGAGGGTGTGTTTTGGACTCCTGTGACTTGTCTTTTACTGGCTTTTTTTTTTTTTTCAGAAGAGGTGGATCTCAGTCAGTGTGAATGCGCTTTTCTTTGTGCTGAGTGAACCATTTGTGTTGAAATGCCGGCACTGAGGAGTCATCAGAATGTGCCAGTGGTGTGTCTTTTTAAATATTAAATTGTAGATGTTTTCTTACAAATAGATTGTAGTTAAATGATTTAAATACTTGTCAAAGTGGTGTGGCAGCAAGCCAGGCACTATTTACACTTCTGAAACTACCTGATCGTGTAACTCTAAACTTGCCTTTTTTTTTAACTTCCTCTGCTTCTCTTCACACCAGCGACTGCTTTTTCTTCCATTTGCCAGCAGAGCTTGTAAATCTGGGTGCCAGGGAAAATGATGTAAAGCCTCTCATTATTGTGCCCAGTCGATCACGCCCAGTTAT